CGATACAGACTCGGACCTTGAAAACGTGCAGCTCTCCAAAGAGAAGGAAGAAAGCCTTCTCCACTCGCCGAAACCAGGCACCAGCTCCCAGCGCAAGGAGGGCCAAAGCCGTCAAGCGAGGGAATGAAGGCCAAGGCGATGTACAAGGCTGCCCTCCGCATCCAGGATCGGCTCCAGGAAAAAGCCGCCCTATCCCCAGAGGAGAAGGTAAAGCTTACCTGGGCTGAGGAAAAAATCGCTGAGGGGAGGCTTCACTTCGCCAAACTCCCCCATATGAGTTCGACTCGCGGATTCGCCAACAAGGTGGAGGAAACGCTTGCCAACAAAAGACAACGCTCAGCCGAAAGCGCCTGTATGGACGCACCGGGGAGCAAGCGGCAACGCGGGCCTAATGAGGCAGGCCCTTCCCAAATGGCGAAAAAGCCCAAAAAGACCGCAAAAGTCAGTGAGGTGATCAAACGACACAAACCAAATGACTGGAAGTCAGGCCAGGACCATGCTCAATACCTCAATATATACACCGACGGCTTCAAGATGGATGGATGAGTTGGAGCGGGCATATACTGTTCAGACCCTTAAATGATGATCTACTGGGTTCCCAGCCACCAAGGCATAGACGGTAACGTAACCGCGGACGAACTTGCAAAGGAAGGCGTTGGATTGGCGAGTGAAAAAACAGAAAACGTCCCTATCTCCCTAAGAACGCTCCAAAGCGAGCTAGAGAGACGGGCTGACGCAAGCGCAAAAAGCAGGTGGAGGAGTAATTCCGCAACCTGTAGAATATCAAAAAATCATGTGCAAAGAGCACAACGAGAAACTCACCCACTATGTGCTGCATCTTCCGCGGAAGGACTGCAGAATGTTAGTGGGTATTCTTGCAGGTCACTGCCTGTCTGTTGCACATGCAGTCAAGCTGGGTATTACCGACAACGCCAAATGCCGGAAATGTGATGAATCCGAGACAACCGAATCCTTGGAGCATCTCATTTGCAATTGTCCGGCCCTAACGAGGGCAAGAATGAGATACCTAGGCTCTCCAGTTCTGGCATCGCTAGAAGATGCCTCCAGGAGAAAGCCAGGCGAACTCCTTGCCTTCGCGAAAAACACCACATAGATTTGTAATAGTCGGACGGTGTTAATTTCTTATTTAATAATATTAAAGCTCTAAATCTAGAACATTTTTCTCATCCTTGAATGTCATATTAGTATTATCAATAATTTCATGATTTTTTACAACTGCAAAAAATAATGAATGTTTTAAAATGGCACACCTATTTAATTGAGCAACCACAAATTGATCAACCACAAATCAATAACAAACGGGTAAAAAGAAAAGTAGAGCAAATTGCACACAAATAAAATGGACGTAAAAAAGTTGATATGCCAAGGCACTTATATGTTTTTTTGATAACCACTGTATTAACATTGTTCACACGTGAACACGAATATAGATAAGATGCATATGTTAGGTATTAAATCTCTGCACTGCACTTGACTATCTCTAAGTACAACCGCCACTTGGGCCTATGAAAATACAATACAAAAAAATACAATTTTTAAAAAAAGTTACTGGTCCAACTTTACTATGGAAAATTACACACAATACAATCTCTGATATTCACTTTTAACAAGTACAGATAATTTTTTAATCGCTAGTTTTTCATTATTTAAAGATAACGAAAATTTGGTGGTGACGCACAATATATTACTGGTATTGGTCACCATATTCCACTTTAATTCAGTTTTTTTTAGAACAACTGAAGCAACAAAATAGTGACGTGCCAGAGATATGAAACGCGATGCTGATTAAAGCTCGTCTTTTTTGTAACTTTGAATTTTTTATGACGAACATGTGAGGTTCATGTTTGCTTTCACATTTCGTCTGAACTTTTTGTTTGCTGTGTTCACAAATTCATGGTCGGATTTTAATGTTTAAGAGAGTTCGTATATTTTTTAAAATATGAACTATCACTGTGGCTGGACGACAAAAAGGGGTTACATATATAAGAAAAATCCATAATAATAAATATAGCAAACTTCGGCACGCCGAAGTTACATATACCTTAAAATATATTATTTTCGGTACAATACAAAAAAATGTGTCTTTATTATTTGTTACACAGGAACACAAAATTAAACTTTGTGAAATTTCCACGAACCATTTCAAGTTTTCCATGATATTTGGGTGCTCCTGAGTAAAAGTCCCATACAAAATTATCTTCCATCACCTACAGGTTCCGCGGTATACCTAAGAATACAAAAAACCGATGTTTGCCGACAGTGCGAGTAAAAAATCTAAAATTTATATTATATATAAAAAGAAACAAATCTACTACTATTTTATAGGTTGCCTTGACTTATTTGAATTTTGACAGAAAATAGTAGTAGATAATCAAACCAAAAAAGCGGTTTTATTCGTTTAATAAATCCAATAAAATGTCCTCATGAAAACGCTTTAAACCGAAATTAAAGAATACAATGAACAATAGATTCAATGAATATTTAAAATTAGTCCCATATAAGATTTAATTCTCAGAATTGTTTTTTCATCACAGAAATGTTGAAATTTTTGGGAGTTTCAACTTTGGCGTCGAATTCCAAAGACATAGGCACGGGTCCACGATTGGGACTATTTTTTAGTAGTGCCGTGATGTATTGAGAGTAGGTCCTACCGAAAATAATAAAGGTAAGTCCAATTATATAGGCCACGTAATTCAAAATGTCGGCAAACATCGGTTTTTTGTATTCTTAGGTATACCGCGGAACCTGTAGGTGATGGAAAATAATTTTGTATGGGACTTTTACTCAGGAGCACCCAAATATCATGGAAAACTTGAAATGGTTCGTGGAAATTTTTGGCTGTGTACCTGTGTTATTATCAACCTTTCTCTTCATTAAGAGGGTTAAGGGGGGGGTAAGGTATTTAATTTTTTTTTTGTAAATTTTTTTTTTCGTAAATTTTTTTTTATTTTTTATTTTAAAGTTACGCAGAGTTTAACGAAGGTCGTTGGGTGTTCAATGCATGAGAATCACAAAACGCTCTCCTGAAAAATGCCATTTTGAAAATCGGTGTACACGATAACTCAAAACCAACTGAACCAATCGGTTTGAAATTTGGAACGTACCTTCTTTAGGTAATTCTACAGGTACTCACGTCGAGCTTTTTTTAATTTTTAATTTTATTATATTTTTTATTTAACAAATTAACTTAATTTTTTAGTCAAAAATCGGGGTTTTGACTTCCAATTTTGACAAAAAAAAATCGTGAAAAAATGTTTAAAATAAAAACGCTTCGTGAATACCTCGGGACGCTTATCCTTTAACGAATGAGGTATAAATTTTGTAGATCGGATAAATCTGTGGACTGTTAGGATGTACACCGCAAACCAACTTTATTTGGAGGCGACACAGGAGATTCCCTATAACTCCTCTGCCTCTAAATATTTTTCAATACAAAAATTAACAAAAATTGTTCAAATGTGTTATTACCACACCACTCAATAAGTTCCCGGCCTGACATATACGGGGCAGTAATAACCAAACATCGATATTTTTTATTGATAGTGTCTTTTATCATAAGCTTTGTGTAAAAATTTTACAACTCTGCGCCCACGTGTTTTCAAGTTATAAATTTTAAAGTGAAACAACCTTTGAGTTTTTCTACAATATGGAAAAAAAATAATTTCGTGTCCTCATTAAACACTGTTTTTTGATTGGACAAAATACGGTAGAAGCCAAAATTTGGCTTGATAAGCATAACCCGGACTCTTCTCCAAGAAAATCAACCATCAAGGACTGGTACAATGAATTTAAACGTGGTCGTGTGGACACCGAAGACGCTGACCCTAGCGGTCGCCCAAAAACAGCAGTTACTCCAGAAAATATCGCCAAAATCCGAAAAATGGTATTGGCCGAACGCAAATTGAAATTAAAAGACATAGCTAATGCATCAAAGATATCAGAAGACAGTGTGTTTGCGATATTCCATGATTATTTGGATATAAGAAAGCTCTGCTCAAAGTGGGTGCCGCGATTGCTAACACCGGACCAAAAGCAACAACGCATTGATGATTCCGAGACGTTTTTAAGCATGCTGAAGCGCAATAGGACCGATTTTTTTCGCCGTTACGTAACAATGGACGAAACATGGATACAACTCTATACTCCAGAATCCAGTCAACAGTCTTCTGAGTGGGTGGTATTCGGTGAAAGCCGTCCGAAGCGTCCCAAAACACAAATATCGGCGGGTAAGGTTACGGCGTCCGTATTTTGGGATGCATATGGGATTTTGTTTATAGACTACCTGGAGAAAGGTAAAACAATCGACAGCGAATATTATATAAAGCTGCTGGATCGACTGGACCAAGCTATCAAGATAAAACGTCCACATATGGCAAAGAAGAAACCGCTGTTTCACAGGATAATGCACCGTGCCACAAGTCTGTGGCAACAATGATGAAATTCAGCGAATTGAGATTCGAACTAATGCCGACCCCACCCTATTCTCCAGATTTGGCCCCCAGCGACTACTGGCTTTTTTCAGATCTCAAAAAGCACCTCCAAGGCAAAAGATATCGAAAAAATGAGGAGGTGATTGCCAATACTGAGGCCTATTTTGAGGGCAAAAGTTCAGCCTTCTACAAAAATGGTATCGAAAGGTTGGAGAAGTGCTGGACTGAGTGAGTGTGTAGCCGTAGATGGAAACTAAATTATTGAATAAAACTAAATTTTCAGAAAAAAATACGTTTTTCCTTCTTAGGCCGGGAACTTATTGAGCGGTGTGGTATATGGTATTTAATTCATTAAGCTAATTTAAGCCGTTTCGCCACAACATTTTTTTAAAAAGTGGTCATTTTTGCACCGAATTGACCTTACCCCGCCTTAACCCATGTAACGAAATGAAAAAATTAAAAACAAATTCTCATAAATCTCTTCTTATTTGATTTGCCTTTTTAATATACTATCTAATATATGGAGCATTTTAAGAATAAACTGCTTACCTGAGGTGTTATTTCACCAAAGAGAACGATGGCCAATGTGGAAAATATAACGGCAAAAAGTCCAGAAGTTAAACCATCCAGCAGAATGGTAAAGGTGGAGTTAACCAACACATTACCCAAGAGAATACTGCACAACAGATAATTACCTTGATCTCGAACTGGTGCAATTTTTGATGCATATCTCTTTTCTTTTTCCGTACCAGTGTTTCGCAATATCTAAAATGTTTCAATGTGACGATATTAAAAAAAATGTTTTATTAAGTTAATAGTATCACCTTTAACTCTGTGCGGTCCATAGCCATCAAACCCAAGTTAAGACCAGAAAATAAAGCAGAAAAGCAAAGGCATGTTACTATGATGATTATGGCTATCCAAACAGGTAATAAGGGTTCTTGTGTTTCAACTTTAAGACAATCGGAATTTCCTTGATGTGCTAGGGGCGAAGTAGTTTCGGCTGTGCTATTCTAAAGGAAATAACAATTTTTGTTAAATAATATATTTAAAGAGATCAAGTAATATATAAAACACTTGCATTATTTTTTTCCTCAGCAGTTTTGGCACAAATATAAAATACACCTAAAGTTGACGGAAATTTAACATTGTACGTTGCTGAAAACCCATCATTGGCCACTTCCAACGGTGTAAAAAGATCAGTAGCTGGTTTGAGACATGGACCACCATATTCATTTGCTTCAGTGGTAAATGTTATTACGGTATTTTTTTGTAAGCCACTGCCGAAAACTCTAAACGTTTGATCTTTGTCTACCAACACACTAGGTATACCATTTTTTGTTTCTACTGTGTCATCTTCCAATCGTATTCCCACAACTCGAATAGTATTCACACCATGTCGACTTTTAGGCAAACTAAAAAGAATAAAAGTAAAGCCGTTAAATAAAGTTGAAAATGTATTATAAACTAGAAACTATATGGGATCTATATCTCGATAAACCAAATTTTGATGTGTTTTAAAATGAGCGATACGTTGCCCTTACGTAAAGGGCAAATTATAAGTTGAATAGATATAGGATTACTAATCTACTCATCTACTCTGAGATATGAGCTTTTTTTATTTTATTTTATTTTTTTTTTTTTGTATAAATTTCATAAAAATCGGACAGCTATATCATATAGCTGCCATAGGAGCGATCGGTAGATGTAGAGATAATGTAAAGCTGTGAATGTAAAACTGTAACTGTTAAACTGTAAGTATAGGTATATTGTAATGAAACTCTGTTTTGTGTGTGTTTTCAACATTTAAATTTATAATATAAATATCAAAACCAATCTGCAAGGGTATAAAAACTTCGGTGGGCCGAAGTTAGCTTCCTTTCTAGTTTTTTTTTTAAATTTCGATTTTAATTTTATGATCATATAGCTGCCATAGGAACGATCAGGAAATTAATTGAAAAAATTATATTATTACTTGGATGTTTTTTAGAATATTTTGTTGAGGTAAGGCCATTTTTATTATTTCAGAATTTCGGTTTTAATTTTTTGAAAATCGACTATATCATATAGCTACCATAGAAACACTCGGTAAATATACAGAAATATGTAAAGCTGCGAGTGTAAAGCTGAGACTGTCAAATTGTAAATTTAATAAATATACACACCTGATCATATTAATAGGTACATACACAAATTATTTAATTATAGATGGTTTTTTCGTTTTTTAAGTGTTGACATCCTTAAAATTTTTGGTTATTTGTTATGGTCAATATCTGGCCAAACTGTGACAAAGAGTTGAACGAGGGGAATCCCCGAATATCAAAGCTTTTCTATAAATTGTGAGTCAACCACACATTTCGCCTGATCATAATAATAGGTACAGTCTCCGTTTCTCATAAATAACAAGTGAATAATTTTGTAATCAGTGATTTTTTGGCAACTTAAGGTAAATTTCGTATAGCTACTATCAATTAAGAGAATTAAATATTTATTTTTTTTATAAAAAATGGGTCGAAATTCTCATTGTACTAAAGAAGAAGCTCGATTGGTTCTTAGTCTGAGAAAAGATGGCAAATCTTTACGAGCTATTGCCAAATTAATGAAAAGGTCCCATAATTTTGTTAAAAATGCATTAGAAAGGAAACCAAGACAGGAATCCCGTGGAAGGAAAAAAAAAAACAACGGAAACGCTTGACCACTACATAGTATCTTTAAGCAAAAAGGACCCATTTAAGTCATCGAAGGCTATTGCAGCAGATATTGGGAATTCAGTTAGTGCTCCAACTATCCGAAGACGACTACAAGATGCCAACCTACCAGGAAGAATTGCCAGAAAGGTTCCACTTATGCGCAAAAAAAATATCACCATGAGGCAAACTTTTGCAAGGGACCACAAAGACTGGGTAGGATGCATCGGGGAGAAAAAGTGGAGAAACATTTTATGGAGCGATGAAACCAAGATAAATTTATTTGGGAATGATTGTGAAAGGAATGTTCGACGCCCTAATGGAAAGGAATTTCATCCACGGCTTACAAAGAAAACAGTCAAACATGGAGGTGGTAATATAATGATATGGGGTTGCTTCTCCTAGTATGGCGTAGGTCCAATTTATCAGACTACGAACAGAATGACTGCTGAAGAATACAAATCCATATTGGAAACAGTTATGGTACCATATGCTGAAGAAAATATGTCATTACGTTGGGTATTTCAGCAAGACAATGATCCTAAGCATACATCAAGGCTTTTATCTAAATTCTTTGAGGACCAAAAAGTTGACGTTCTGAAGTGGCCAAGCCAATCCCCCGACCTAAACCCCATAGAAAACTTGTGGGGAGACTTAAAAAAGAAATTGGCAAAGTATTCATTTTCAAATAAAGCACAATTATGGGATGGTGTCCAAAAATTGTGGTATGAAACACCAGTAGAAACCTGCCAGGCTCTTATTAAAAGTATGCCAAAAAGAATAGCAGTAGTGACCAAAAATAGAGGTGGATACACTGGATACTAAGTTAGTAAACACAAATTTAGAAAAAAAAAAACGCAAAATATATATTTAAATTTATTTTTCTCATCTACACTTGAAATGTACCTATTATTTTGATCAGACTGAAAACGTATCTAAGACACAAAATGATCTCCTTTTTGTTATATTATTATCCTATGTTACAATGAAGTTTATTTGATTAAAAACAAATAGTTTAAGAACCAATGAGACCAAATTTTATGTTTAAAATAATGAATAAAACTATTTTCTGTAACCTTAAAGTCTGAGTTGATGTATGTACCTATTAATACGATCAGGTGTGTAGGTAAAATGTAATGAAACTTGGTTTTGTGTTTTAAATTTTACCAAAACCAAATTATTATATGCTATGTATAAATATACAACTTTTATATATTTCCTATTATTTTTTCTATTAAGGGGTTATCCGGGTTTTGAAATTTCAAAATATGCATTTTTTTCAAACTTTTTTATATAATAGTACAAAGTGTCAGGAATGTTGTCCGAAAATTTCAAGTCGATCGAAGCAAAACTGTAGGAATGGGAGAAATTTAAAACCCAGCGCTTCGTATGAGTCACAAATGGCAATTAAAACTTTAAACGCGTTTTTCTCGAAACCACTTTTTTGAAGTCGGTAGTCAAGATTTCTCGAAAACTACTGGACCGATCGACTTCAGATTTTCCACTCTTCTTCTAGACATGTTTTTCTTGTCTCTGAACGAAGGATTTTTTATATCTTTAATTAGAACCGATTTTATAACCCAAAATATGGCAAAAATTGACGTAAAAAGTAGCATTTTTCATTAAAAACGCTCCCAAAAATTCAAGACACATAAGCTAACAGAAAAATTTTGGTTTTTTGATTTCAAATAAAAATTGACGGGGAAATCCTGCCTACCGCAAGGACATAATTTTTTTTTAGGGTTAAGTTCAACCCTCCCTCAACGGCTCATTTGTGAATATTTATTGTTCAAAATTTTACAGAATTTAGTTCAAACCTTATGTTTTGATGTAGAATAAATGAAATTTGCAAAATTGTCATAGGATGTTTTAAAAAAATTCTGTAAAATGGGCCTTTTTTTGTGGTTCTAAACCCGGATAACCCCTTAATTTGACTAGAATGGATCGATTCTTAATGACTCAATTGCAAACTGCAAGGGTATACAATAGGGGTTGTTTTTAAAAAAAAATATCGTATTGATGATATTTGCTGTTTTAAAAATATTACTCGATGATATTTGAAAATATCATAAAAAAATATCGATATATTGATTTTTTTGATATTTTTTAATTTTTAGCAAAACTTGGATAAAGATTTCCTGTTTCTGAAAATTTGGGTAGATTTTGAGCCTAAAAATCGTTATATTTGATTTCATCAATCATTAACATCAAATAAGGGCCATTTGAGACATAATAGACTGTTTTGAATTTAAATTGTGAATAAAAATCGTCGAACTTAAAATGCAAATATTATACCCGCTCTCAAGCAACTCTTATTTACGACCCTTGGTATAGAAAAATAATAACAACATTTTGAAGGATAAGTGGTTTTATTTAACAAAAATCAGTTTTTAATGATTTAAGAAAAACTCGTTCGGTTACATGCTGGTCTATCATAACAAAAATTAAGTTGTCACTAATGTATGTATAAGCTAGGATGTACATAAATTTCTGTGTGTGTGCATTCTTTCCCGCGAAAATGTACATTATATGTCTGTTTACACATGTATGTATGCAAGTTTGTGCGTGTATAGACATGTCTATATGCCTGCGCATTTTGATTTTAAAAGATCTGGAAAACACGCACAAACTTGAATACATACATGTGTAAAACGACATACACCGGTAAATTTCGCGGAAAAGAACGCACACGCTGTATGTATGTATGTATGTATGTATGTCCATATGCCTGCGCATTTTGATTTTAAAAATTCTGGAAAACACGCACAAACTTGCATACATACATGTGTAAAACGACATACACCGGTAAATTTCGCGGAAAAGAACGCACACACACAGAAATTTATGTACATATGTATGTACATCCCAGCACATTGCATTTTGAGCATTTTAAAAAGTATCTTGGTGCTTGTTTTTCAGGTGGGAAAGTAAGTTGGAAGAATTCCCACTACTTTTAATTATCTTTAAGCACAATGTGCATTTCGCTGTAATTCCATTGAATTCAGAATAAAATTCTTTTGCAGCACTCATAATCACACGCGTCTCTTTTTTCATGTTTGGCTTAAGAGTGACCAAATATAAAAATATCGGAAATATCATCTCAAAAAAATATCATTATCGCCTATTTTTGCCCAAAAAATATCGCGATGATAATATTTTTTTTAAGAGAAAAAATATCGATATTTTGATATTTTGATATATTTCCGACATCCCTAGTATACAAACTTCGGCGTGACGAAGTTAGCTTCCTTGTTTGTTCATTAATGCCATCCGTCTGTGAAATTATATGCCACATAGGTTTAAGACAATTAAAATCACAACTCAGTTCAAATCTCAAATAAAACGAAAAAATAATAAACTAAAAATATTTAGGGGTCTAGGACTAATCGGGATACTCCAGAGTCCCAAAAAAAAAGTTGGTTTCCTGTGTACATCCTAACTATCCATAAAAACATCTGATATCAAAAACTATAATGCATTAGTTGATGAATAAGTGTCCCGATGTACTCACGTCGCGTTTTTATTTTGAAAACTTTTTCGGGATTTTTTTTTATCAAAATTTTAAGTCAAAAAATTTAAGTCAAACGATTTGACTAAAAAATTAAGTTACTTTGTTTAATAAGAAATATAATAAAATAAAAACTTAACAAAGCTCGACATGATATAACCTTTACAATTAGTTAAAAAAGTTATGTTAATTGATTTTAGGAGAAAAAATGTTGGTTTGC